TCGACCCCCTCGACCCCCCCTCGAGGCCGCGTGACGCCGAATTGTTTCAGCCCTCGTAGCTCGTGAATCTAGAAAAGTCAAAGCAGCAGTTCCCTCTTTCTGGAGCCGAACGCATGTGAAGAGCTTCTCCTGCGTGCTGATTGGCCAGGAGGCAATTAGTTAATTAGGGATTAATAATCAACCCACGAAACCCCGTTTGACGACATGGGATTAATTGTCGATTGTTATTGTGGGATTGAGGCTTCCGATCAGGGATTAAACAGCGACGCGCTTCATTCACCAGCAGCTGAAACAAAGCACATTTCACATTTGGAGCATTTAAAGTTTATCGGATCCAAACAACAGAGCCGAGGTGAAAAAGCTCCTTCCAGGACGAGCGCGTTGGACCCGAACGGACGGAAGCCGGCGGCAGGAAGCGACCGAGACGGGACCCGGCGTCACGACCGATGTTCACGCTCATTTTGTCCTTCAAATCAAATCTCCTGCAGCACAGAAGTTAAAGGGACTGGATTTGGATTTATTTAGATTCCCACAGCTGCCAACAGATGTGGAGCCTCGCGAGGCGACAGGCGAGAGGAGCCAGTCGCGTCTTCTGCTGCTCGCAGGCCGAGACGAGATGGATCAGACAGTGAAACGTTGATCCGACTCGTCCTGACCTCTGGACCACGGCGAGCTTCGTCGTGGCCTGTTTGTAGTACAGATGTTGACTTTGATCCACGTAAAAGAATCATTTTGTTCCTCTGGTCCTCAATACGAAGGACACGCAGGGACAGACCAACAAATGTCCCATCGAGCAGCTGTGTGTTCACACACAGAGTGACGCCTCCTCAAAGCCCAGAGACACACACACACACACACACACACACAGAGACACACAGACACACACACGACTCCTCAAAGCCCAGAGACGGGACGACAGATGTTATAAAAGGCTGCGCGCAGACAGACGCACACAGACACACACACACAGACACACACACAGACACACACAAACACAGACACACACACACACACACAGAGACACACACACATACACACACACACACACACACACAGAGACACACACACAGAGACACACACACATACACACACACACACACACACGACACACACACAGACACACACAGACACACACAGACACACACACACACACACACAGACACACACACAGACACACACAGACACACACACACAGACACACACAGACACACACAGACACACACACACAGACACACACACACACACACACACACAGACACACACAGACACACCACACAGACACACACCACACAGAGACACACACACATACACACACACACACACACACACACAGAGACACACACACAGAGACACACACACATACACACACACACACAGACACACACACAGACACACACAGACACACACACACACACACAGACACACACAGAGACACACACACATACACACACACACACACACACACACACACACAGACACACACACAGACACACACACAGACACACACAGACACACACAGACACACACACACACAGACACACACACACACACACAGACACACACACAGACACACACAGCCTGATCACATCTTATCAACGTGCAATTAAGCTTCTTTTTTTCCCCGTTTTCATTTCCAAGAAGCGTTGAGTGACTTTATGGAGTGAAGCTGCCTCTGAGACTGCAGAGGAACGGCAACACACGCGTGTGTGTGTGTGCGAGTCTGGCAAACACACACACACACACACAGGAATGTGGCCGAGGCTTTGAAATGCAGATCTTGATGCTTGGTCTTGATTCTTCATCGAGGAGCATTTCACAGCCGCTTGGTAAATATGTCCTCAAACACGTCTGAGCATTAGATGGATTCAGCTCTCTCTTCCATTTACAGAAGGACACGTGAGTTTCTCCCTCATGGAGGCTGTTGGGTCTGAGTCGGGTTGCTGGGGCCTCCGAGGAGCACAGCTTCCCCCGATGCCCTCTGGCCTCCTGTTCGGGATCGATGGTTTCACTTTGTACCACTCGGCCCTGTGAATCTCCTCTACACCCCGACGCCATCCGTCCCGAGGCCCTCCGTCCCTCCGTCCCCAGACTTCAAAAGTCAAAGCACAGACACAGGACACCGGGACGCGCACGCCGACAAACCAACAAGCACACGACACGGTCAGTGACGTCCGTTTGCTCAGTTGAGCATCTTTGAGGACGGACCGCAGGGGGTCGATACGCCGCCACAAACCGGGGGGGCGCCAAACGCCATCGTCATCGCTTTTCGGCATACTCGGGGTGATTTTGCGTGCGACTGAGCCGACACTCGGATGATTGACAGGCGTTACAATTAAGGGGGAGCGAGCAGGAACAAAGGACCGCCCTTCTGTCAATCAGCCGCCCTTCTGCCCGCCTCCGTCCGTCGATAATCTGTCTGCACCAAGTTTGTCTCAGTGGAAATATTACAATCCTGTTTCCACGGTTCACACCAGCAGGAAGCTCCCATGACGCAGAGACCCCCCCTCCCCCCCCCCACGAGCTACAGAGACCAGAACGTGGAGGTCTCTGCTCCTCCAGGTGTTCCTGTACTTCTTCACTGCACTAAAATGACTCCTCTGACAGCAAAAGGCACATTTTGTGTTTCAGTGTTATTTGAACCTGAAAGTGAGTATTTGAAGGTACAAAATGCTTTTCCCCCGAAGCGTTTTTCACAAAGGGGGGGCTGTAACCCCCCCGAGCCTGCCGCTCCTGTCGCTTCCCCGAAGCCGCCGGAGGGGACGGGCGTAATCGGCGACCCTTCTGGTTCCCGTTACGAAGGAGAACAAAGTCGTTACGGCGTCCGCGCTGTTCTCTCTCTTCACCCGTCAAGCGGCGCAGCGGCTCTGACCCGGTGATCGGCGCATTAACCAGCCGGACGGGAATCAAACTCAAGGCGCCGGTTGAAGGACGAACGTCCCCGGTGTTTAAACCGCTGTCCTTCAGGCTATTTCCATTTATTACCCAGCAGCCTCGGGGGTTAATATTCTGACAGCTTCACACAAACTAACAGTAGCCATGGAGATCATTATACTCTGATTCAGTGGGTTCTTCTTTATATTGAATTTATTTGCTGCCACTAAATTCATCAGCATTATGCGTTTGGTCTCTTCACCGTCAGACGAGCCTCTTGGAACAATTACTGCTCTTGTGTTGTTGCACAATGTGCACGACCTGCTACGTGTTTTGAGGGTTTTTAGCCGCACGCTAGATGAGTGTGTTTACAGGGACAGAAGCAGGAATTATGGAAATCCCACCAAATTCCGGGTTATTTCAGTCTTGGCCGCGGGCGCAACAGGACGCGGAGGATGACGAAAAAAGATAAATGAGCACAGTCATCGCCCTCCAGTTTCAGTCGGGGGCCACGGCGAGGAAGGTCGGCTGAAGCAACGCGGGGGCCCGAATGCGCCGCCGCCGCCCAAAGCCCAAAGCCTCTGTGATCCCATGAGACCGGAGGTCTTCACGCGTTGCAAAACGAGCCCGCCGCTGGATCAGAGCGGATCACCGCGGGTCGGTTCCGTGTCTGCAAAACAGGGCGCGGCCATCGGGGCTGAAGGAGACGAGACGGGGGCCAGGAGGAGCAGGGAGAGCTGCGGAGGGTGTGACGGTACGCGGACGCCGCGTGCACACGCCAACACGCCGCGTGCACACGCCGCGCCGACACGCCTGGCTCACGTTTCCATCAGAGGAGCCGAGCAGGAGAGTCTTTGATCTCCCTTTGATGCAGCGTGTGGAAACACAGCAGCTGATTCGGGAACCAGAGGGAAGATGTCGGGTGTTAAGTGGATGTGTGTGTCTGTGTGTGTGTGTGTGTGTGTGTGTGTGTGTGTGTGTCTGTGTGTGTGTGTGTGTGTGTGTGTCTGTGTGTGTGTGTGTGTGTGTGTGTGTGTGTGTGTGTGTGTGTGTGTGTGTGTGTGTGTCTGTGTGTGTGTGTGTGTGTGATCTCGAGGAGGGAAATGATACATGTAGCGGGAATGACACTGCAAATCTTTCAAGACCTTGATTGAGTCCAAATGAGACACACACACACACACACACACACACACACACACACACACACACACACACACACACACACACACACACACACACACACACACTCACTCATTGCAGATTATCAAACATGGCGGCGGCTTTAACGAGCACGACTGTCGAGCAGCAGATTTACGTGCGGCGGCGGCGCTTCCCTCTCAGGACGTCGCTTCGCGTCGGCGCACAGACAATCTGTGGGTTGTGATGCTGCGCATGGACGGCCCCCTTCCGCCCGGCTGCCTCTCCCCCCCTCGCCCTCCCATCCTCTCCCCCCCCCCGCCTGTCAGGATGATTCCAGGCCTGTTGCGTGTGTCCTGACTAGCGGGGCACAAACGGAGCCGTGAGGCGCCCGAGGAGCGTCCCGTCTCCCTCCGCGGGCGTCACGCGGCTCTCCGGCTGCCAGGCAACATTCTCGAGTGGAAAAGCATTAAGCCACAATTAAATCATAATGACCGTTACAAAGGACGGGGGACATTTCCATCCGGGAGGGGTTAGGAGCGAGGAGCTATCGTCTCCGTATGGCTGTGGGTAAAGAGCCCAGGTGCATTATGGGGCGAGCGGAGGGAAGCTCGGGTACGACGGCAACGAGTAGCTCTCGCCCCCGGGGGGGAGGCGTTGGACCATGATGCTCACAGCAATCACGTCTGGCACCACTGAAGAGAAATATAACGAGAAATACGTCGCCCCCCCCCCCCCCCCCCCGGTAGTGATCCGCGGCGCCGGAAAGCCCCCCGCGGCGCCTCGCCGACATTTGTCTGGGACACAATGGCGTCGGCCTCCGGTCGGATATCAAGGTGCTGCTGATGGAATGAAAGCACTGTGATAAAAGGCGGAGACGAGGAAATGAGACGGAGGCTGCGGGGGGGGAGGGGGGGGACGAGTACGCGGGACACGTTTTGTGTTAAAGAGGCGGGACGTGACAGAGGAACAGAGCAGAGGACCACACTTACTTCATGGGTTTGAAGAGAGCCTGGCCGTAGTTCTGGAAGGTCATGATGAGCTTCAGCTGAGTGCCTCCAGACTTCATGGCTGCAGGAGGGAAACAAGACGTCCATTAGACGTCCGCCAGCGGCACCACGTTAAGCGTTCTGTCACGAGGCTCATGAGCACCGACGCCCCCCCCCCCGTACGAAGCGACCAGCAGGACCAGCATGGGGGGGTCCCGGCGCTCGGAGGCGTCCCGTGTTCCTGGTCGTGTGACGTGCTGAAGCCCCGAAAGCCTCCTTCGCAGAGACACACGGCGCGCGATGCGTTTGTGTCTTTGTGCCTGCTGATGTCACGATGTTTGTTTGATGGGGAGGGAGGGTGGGGGAGGGTGGAGGGGGAGGGGGGGGGACAGCCTGTGCTCGCCCTCTGTTCCTCCTGTTTACTCTCTCTGGAGGATCCATCTCTCTCTGGTCTCTGTGATCCTATTCATCCGTCCTCCATGTCGGTCCTCTGTGGGACGGGTTGCCACGGACACGGCGATATTATATATATATATATATATATATATATATATATATACGAATGTTATCATAAGAGCGGAGCAGCAACCGGGCGGCTTCTCCACTCAACTGATGGATGCAGAACGTTTCGGTGGTCTCCTGCCACAGAGCAACCTTCTGGATCGATGCTCTCATTAATTCTTTACTTTTGGGAATCACGGTACGAGAAAAGTGTTGGAAGAGAAAGAATCGATAACCGCCGGATCTCACCTGCTTCAGGAGCCTTCCTGGGGACGTTTGGAGGCGTTTGTAATAAAGGCAGATCGAACCCGATTGACAGGAGCTGCATGAAAATGTTTCATTTCCATCTCCCCCCCCCACAGCAAAAGCATTGTGTTTTAGTTTTTCTCCCACTATCATGCGCAGTAATCGTGCATCCGAGCAGCGGCCTTGAGCCGTAACACGTAGCTGCTCTCTGCTGCAGGCCGGCTGGAGCCTCTGTAATTACTGAGCCACCACGTATTCCTGTCTCCACCCAGACAAAGAACAGCAGAGCACAGCTCGAGTGGAACGAAAAGAAGCGCTCCTCGCGGTGACCGAACAGGGGTAGTTCTGCAGATAACCGTCCTCCCACGGGAGGATCCGATCGTCCACTAAGCGCCGGTTGGCGGCTCTGTCGTTGGCAGATGAAGCTGAAATCTGCAATCACTCTTCGCAGCGAGCGCACGGCGGGCGACCTTGAGTCGACAAGCACTCTTGGAATGTGGAAGCCGGACTGAGCCAAAGAAACGGAAGACAAACCCCCCCCCCCCCACCCCCCCTGAATAGATCCGCACCGCTGAACCGCTCGTACACGGGCGACGGACACACGGCGGCCCGGCGGGTTCGCTACTTAGCAGAACCTCCTCGCTCCTCGGCAGCAGACGGGCGGGACGTCGGGGGGAGGAGGGGCCCTCACATCGCCCTCGGGCTCGCTGCTGGGACGACACCGCCGCGCTCAGATGGGCTGCTACTGTGCAGCCTGTGATCATTCCTTCTATTTCTGTAGCATTCGGGTCCTTTCGCCCCGACGAAGACCTGCCGATGAAGATCAGCCTCCCCGTTCCTCAGGATTATTACATTGTTATTACAGTTCAATTATTGTAGTTTAAAACCCCGACATTGTGCAGAGTAGTAAGAGGCCTGTTCCTGGTGGGGGTTACTCTCTAATAATAATAAGATATAAGATAAACCTTCTCTATGTGCACAGCTTGGACCCTTCACCACCCCCCCCATGACTCACCGACGCTGGTGATCTTCTGGGTGACCAGGTCCTTCAGGAGCGCGTCGATGACCGGGTTGTGTCTGGAGTACAGCTCGTACCGATTAATCCCAATGTGGAAGCGGAGCCAGTTGGGGTAGGACTCGTCCGCCGGCCCCCCCGCCGGGCTCACCTCCTCCGCGGTGCCTTGGTTCGTCCTGGGGAGGGCAGGAAGGGCAGAAAGCACATTCACGTCTACGCAAACAGCGGCACGCGCACAGCCACAACGGCGCGTTCTTTACCAGGCGCGCTCCTCCGCGGCTTTGGGGTCGAACCGGATGTCCGCGTTGACGTTGAACAGCGTGTCCTCGTCCGTCAGAGGCGGCAGGGAGCGTCTGTACAGCGGGTGCTCGTAGAGAGCCGCCAGCCTCGAGCCCTGGAGCCGCGCGTCCGCCGCCGCCGCCGCCGCCGCCGCGTCCTGCGCGATCTGCCGCTTCCGGTCCCCGCGCGGCCCCAGGTGCTCGAGCCGGCGCGGGGCGTGCGCCCGGTCGGCGGCCCCCGGGACCCGTTCCAGCGAGTGGGAGGAGACGTTGGAGCCGGGCTCGCTGCTGAAGTCCTGCAGGATCCGCAGCGGGTGCTTGTTGGCCCGGACCTGCTTCCCCCAGCCGCGGGGCTCCTCGCTGGGCGCGTGCGAGCACGAGCAGCCGCCGCCGCCGCCGCCGCCGCCGCGCCGCTCCAGCTTGGGTAACAAGTCGACCATGATGTGCATGGAGCACGCGACGAGGAACACCATGAGGATCAGAACCCGGAATTTGCGCAGGAGGATCATCTTCATGGTCTCCCGTTTGAGCAGATGGGAGTATTTACTGCAGATGATGAGCACGCAGATGAACAAGCTGACTACATCGCTGATGATGTTTATCACGCTGGACGCCAACCGGACGAAATACACATTAAACACGTAGGAGCCGTCGTCACTTGCCGTCTTGAGGAAAGGGTTCAGTGTTCGGCGCTTTTAAACATCCGAGTCCCGCTTCCGGGCTCCGGCGGACCTCAAAAGCGCGACGTGATCCGCGCGCGTCCGGGCGAAGCGCGTCGCGTCGGCTCGGACCAGCGGCGGCTCCGCGCGGGCCACATCGTCTGCGCGCCGCGTACCTGCGGGCCTCTCGGAGGGGACGCCGGGCGGCGGCGGACAGGTGAGTGGGATCCGAGAGCAACGGCGGCACGCGAGCGGGGGGGCCGCGGGGGGTCGATCCGTTAGACGCGCGTGTCCGAGAGGTTCGCGGGCGCGCATCGGTCTCACCGTCCAACCTCGATCCTGGAAGCGCAGCCGCGGACCGGACGGGACTTTGGTCCCGGAAAGAAACGCGGGTACGGGAAGCGCACGCTCTTCAAATATGAAAGAGCTTGTTTTTCGGGGAAGTCCCCCCCCCCCGCCGCTCCCCCTTCTCCCGAAAAAATAAAAAAAAAGTAGTGTTCGCGCTGATCCACCTCGGCGGTCCGGAACGCGTAACGTCACATCGAGTCCCGACTAAGCAGCGCAGGTAACGGAGACTCTCCGGCTGGAGCCCGCGGGACGGAAGCGGAAAGCACCTCTCGTAGCATCTGGGTGGGAGTGTTAAATATGAGGATGGAGCCAAGACTCGATCCAGCCTTTGCGCTGCGTCACTGCGCGCAGATTGGCTGAGGAGGGAGAGAGAGAGAGAGAGAGGGAGAGAGAGGGAGAGAGAGATGCTGCGTGTCTGTATTCCCCCTGCACGTCCTGGCTGCACAAGAAGAGGGCGTCTTTCCGCTGGCCTTCATTCATCCCCCCTCCCCCCCCCCTGACATCCGTCTTGTTGGAGACCTCAGCCTGAGCATCGTCTCCAATGAGCTTTAACAGCCGCACGAGGTGGAACCCACGGAGCACCTTTCCACCTTCCAGGAGCCCCCCCAAAAAAAATACCCAGACTCATCACACCTCTTTTCTGCTGTGACCTCTGACCTACACACCGCGCACAGCTGTCACAACACCCAGTCGCTGCACTAATGTTTCTTTTTTTCACGGCTAATTGGCGCGGCCTAATGGCGGCATGCACGCTTCCTGTTGGCTGTAAATAGGCTGTGTAAGTGTAATAAACCGCTTGCGTTTCATAGCGTGGCGTGTGAGTAAGTGATCACGCTGCCTGTGATTACCCCCCTAGATTGGTTTATAATTAAAAAGTAAGAGCCAGCGGAGGGAGGTGGAGACCGCGGCTCTTGCGGCGCTGAATAGATTTCTAGGAGAGGAGACGGCTCAGGATAAGCTCTACGGGGGGGATCCAGTGACAGGAAACATCGGTTGTTAATGTGCAAAAATAAAACAGCAGCCTCGAGGAAGGTAACCTGAAGGTGTGTGTGTGTGTGTGTCATCATCATGTGTTCACGGCGGTTTGAGCTCCACCGCACCGACTTCTGGTGAAACCTTGTTGCTTGGCAGGTTTTCCGTACCTCGGATTCACAGGGCCGCTGGTATCTCAGGGCTGATTCCCCAAACCAAGCAGACGGGGCATCGCATCTCCCCCCCTGGTGTTGGGTGTCAGTGGACGGGACAAAGTGATGCTTGTTGCTAATCCGCTGCGCCCTGACGTATTGATGTCAGTCCCACACGGATCACAGCAGTCGACGGGTCAGCGGCTCCTCGCAGGCCCTCGTCCTGTGCTGCTGGAGGATTGTCCTCCGCGCCGGCCTCACGCTCTCACTCTTGGAATAGACTTTTGTCAATTCGCATTTCCAAACGAATAATTTGCTCTCAGTTATCGAGCTTCCTCGACAAAGAAGCAGCGCGAGAAAACAACAAATGCGCACACGACAGGATCCGCCGGCGTGTGAGCGCCCGACCCGAGGCACAGAGGGCTGATTGAGAAGCGTCACGTGACGAACGGCGTGACGAGATCAGCAGGACGAGGGGGTCGGCCGGGCCTCATGCAGCGCCGCTCGTAAATACACCAGATTCATGTCCGGTACACTGAGCGTCTCTCAGAGATCCGTGTTCCTCTCTGCACATCACGGCAGCTCAGCAACACTCCAGGTGAAAGATGGCGCTTCAGCTTGTTTGCTGATATTGTGTATCAAATATATATATATATATATATATATATATATATATCACGACTTCCTGTTACAATAGGGGAGTTTATTCGCAGGGAGGAGAGCTGAAGGCGCTAAATGCATTGGAAATAAATGCCTCCTTGTTGGATTACGTCGCACTTTAAGCCTCCTGGTTCAAATCCAATCCGTGACCCTTCGCTGTATGTGGTACCCCCCCCCCCACCCCCCACCCCCCCAGCCCCTCCATCTAATGTGAGCAGAAATGGGCAAAAAGTGAGATGTGAAAGTCACCCTGGAGCTCCGGGTAGAAAGATGCTGACTGCTGTTCAGTAAATTACAGGCAGAGGAAGCGAGCAGGTCAGACGGCGCCCGCCTGGATTCCCTCCCCGGCTTAATAAATCCCTCTCCATCCATATGCATCCACTGAGTGAATGTGTTGCCCTTGACTGACTGACTGACTGACTGACTGACTGACTGATTTGAGCGGATATTACAGATGCGTCTCCGCGGTCCGTCGCCGGCGTACGGACACGTTGAAGCGCTGCTGATGATCCCTTCAGTGAGGACGTCCTCGACAGCAGAAGACCTGGAGACGCCTTGTTTTATTATTTTTCTTTTATTTACTGGATATTGTTTTGTGTCCTAATCCGTTTTCATGTATTTCCCTGCAGCCTGTGGATGTTTACACGATCATCACGTGTAGACACGGAGCGAGGTTGACATTCTGCTTGATTGCATATTAGCGACGTGAGAGAGAGAGAGACGTGGTCCCTTTGTGAGCGTCACTTTGTTCTTTCTTTACAGAAAGAAGGAAGTTTGTTGATAAGAAATAATTGGTATCCAATTTAGAAGAAACGCGATTTTGAAGAAACACGATTCATTGTTCTTCAAGATGATGCCCGAGGGCTTAAAAAGCACATCTTGGCAGCTCTTTGCAGATTAGTAGCTGCACAACAGCAATAGTGTCTCTGCAAATGTGAAACGTACTCTTTCATTCCTTCAGTTAAATGAAAGTGGGCTGTTTTGTTCTCACATTCTGTACCTGTAGCCCACATCATAAGGCAGAGCAATGTAAAAAACAGTACCAGGAATAATAAGTGGAAATTGAAAATAAAATGTGCATCTCTGCTTGTAAGGTGGAAAACACTGAAGCCTCATTACAGATCCATTTGGTGGTTATAGACACCTTTCAGTCAGTAGGGTTCATCCTCTGGGAACCACGAGTGTCTACAAACTGGGCCAATCCATCATCGTCCGACGGCCAAGTGCAAACTTTGAGCGCCTGCTGACGGCAGAGGAAATGTCAGCGGATCCGTTGGTTCCCTGGAAACCACGAAGGTCTAAATGACAGTTGGTGACCAAAGTGTTGATCCGACAAACCACCATTCTGCTCGCGTGCAGGGCTGCAAAACCATTCAAAGGAAAAAAGAGGACGCAGTTCCATCGAGTTACAATCTGCACATACGTTCATTTCCTCCGTCGCGCTCGTACCAGCAACCGGAAAACACAAAGGGACCAAAACAAACCCGAGGAAGGCTCTTAGGTGCCCTCAGATGACCAAACACCAGGGGAGAGGTAGTGGGGGGAAGGACGCGTGGCGATACGGCTCCTCTGGGTCATCGCTCAAGGCGTCTTAAAAGCCCAGACTGTCTGTGGCTATAATAAGGTGTTAGTGAGGAGTTCTGCTGACCTGCTCTGCCTCTGATATCAGACCGGGAGGAGGATTCTCCACCGGGGGGTTATTTTTACGTCTGGCAGGGAGGTGCACGCTATACTTTCCCAGGTGTGCGTCTCGTTTTGGCTTCCATGCGTTCAAACGGAGAGGGAGAGAAAAAGACCAGCTCTGTGTAAATGAGTGTTTGTGGTCCATGCAGGAGTGTGTGTGTGTGTGTGTGTGTGTGTGTGTACCTGGGTCACTAGGTGCAGGGGTCGGCGTGTTCTGGGGCAGCTGCGTCCAACCAGAGGACCTTGCTGTGTTTGTCCTGCTGGCTGCAGTGACCCTATAATTAGAGTTTGGGCAGTGAAGGATCAGGATGGATCAGTGTCCCTGTTTGGATCATTTCGGAACCAGTCTGTTTATTTTAGGCTGCGGCGACCGCCGAGCCTCCGCAGCGTGAAGCCTCGCTGGTCCCGATATAGCGGCGACCCTCGGCCCCCTCGGCCCCCTCCCTGGTCCTAAACAAATAACAGCCCCGCGTGGTCCGTTTGTTTGTTGACTTTGGCTGCGATGGCCTGAGGCGCTCCCCGACCTTTGAGGCCGAGCTGCATCTCCAGGAGGGAATAAAACAGATCACACAAAGAAACACCTGGAAAACAAGAGACATGAGGCGTTTTGAAGAAATGATGACGATAAAACAATCTCCTTTGGGCCGAGTTAGACACATTCATTCATCAAGCTTTAGGATGAATTACATTTTATGATGAAGCTGATTATATGGACCGTTATGGAATATCGGATACCGCGGAACCGGCAACACAAACTGGATTAACGCTTAGGCTGAAAATAGTTTGGTTTGAATGGTCTCTCAGTCCGTTTCCAGCTGGCAGCGTCTCTCCTCCACGAGGGAGCGGAGCCCTGAGCCACAGCACTTACACATTAATCAGTAACGCTAATAGCGGCAGCCCGACTTTCAGTCATTAACAGGCGGCGCGCTATCGCTGTTTTTAATGTGCAATGTTTCACTTTGAACTGTGCACCAATTCTACTCCGTTTAATCAACATGAACGATGATTCAAATTGATCCGTATTAGTGCAGTTCACTTTTTAGGATATGGTAGTTCTCTCAGTCCCTGCTAAACGGCTTCACTCTCTATTCTGTACCTGTCATACTTCATTTAATGCAAATATTTGAGTTAATCAGTGTAACCACAAATAGATAAATGAATCTTGTGGCTCCTTTCGCTAAAAAACCTTTTGCGAAAGGAGTCTTTATGACCTCTTTTACAGATACCATCACACCAAAATCAACACTTATATGAGCAGCCTTTATGGGTTCAGTGCACGCTGCCTCCTCCTGTATTAACACGCCTCCAAAAACACTGAGATCTCATGTTAATCCCGGAGACACGTTTGGGTTGCTAAATGCAGGAGGAGTGGAGGCGTCGCCCGGCACTAAATCTCAGCACTTATGACGGCGCGGCGAAGATCGAGCTGAATGGAGACGGATCCCGAAGTCGTTAAGTCACAACGAGAGAAAAGGGGAGACGTGTCACCGCCTTGACTCAGGGCCAACAGCATCAGCAGCTCGTGCTTCCTCCCTGGTTTGTCTCCTCCTCTTCATCTTCTTCCCCTCTTTTCAAAAACAGTCCCATCTGTCGACCCGTCCCGTGGCTCCTCTCTGACTCCCTACGTCCTCGTTTCCTCTCCTCGCTCGAAGCACTTGATCCCTCCTTCTCTCCTCTTCGCCTCGCTGCCCCGCGTCCACAGAGCTCATCGCCGTCAGCCAGAGACACTCAAACCGGGTGCGTAAACATGAGGTTTGTGAGAGGTGGCGGGCTCTGCTTGGCAACGCCGCCCTGGCGTCTACGTGCTACGCGCCACGTGTGTGTGTGCGTGTGCGTGTGTGCGTGTGCGTGGGAGGACAGCCAGTCGCTGCGCCGCACTGAATGAGCCACTTGTAT